GAGTCTCGGGTAATTTGCCGGGTTGGCCGAAAAAACCCAAAAATTTTTCATATATACAATATCTTATAATGCCTGTTAAGATTGCTCATAATAAATTTATGGAATTCAATTCAGACCTGATATATCGATATTAAATTCAAACAATTCCTTTTAATAAAAAATTTTCATATTTTTATAATTTTTCAAAGACTTTTATTCTAAAAATTACCTTATGAGAAAATTTTCTATCTAACAACTTGTACTCCTGAATTGAAAATAAAAAGAATACAAAATTAATGTTCTAATAAGTAATAGATCCTATATATTAAGTGTATAATTATATTTCCTTTGCTGATTGAATTAATGATATATCCTTTCATATGGTTGATTCATTATTGCTTAATAATATGATTTGATTGAATTCATGCTAATTCTTTCTTTTCTAAATTCTATCATCAAATCAATTTTTAATTATTATTAATTTTTATTTTGTACAATTTTCCTTAGATATATAGTAATTAAGTATTAACACATATAATTTATTTATCAAATTAATGTATTACTTAATAGTTAATATGATCAATTTTGTTAACCTCAAATAATTTGTATGAGCAAATTTTCTTTATTCGTAAATAAGAATTAAATTTTATTTTTTATGGAAGATTTTAATGATGATGACATCAGTATTTTTGTAGGAAAATTTGAGACAGAAAACTAGAATTCAGTGGTAGACTCAATTATGAACCAAAAATAATCTTAAGGATCGAGCTGTAATAATATATTGAAAAATTTAGAAATAATTATCCTACAATAAGCAATTAGAACAAAAGAAGAATTAAACAAGCAAATAATTCCTATATTAAGTATTAATTGACTTCATAAAAGAATATCTCTAGAATAAAAATCTGCAATATGGAGATTTGGAAAAATAAAATTAAGAACTAATAATACTTTAGGAATAATCTAAATAAGATATCTAGCAGTTATAAGTAAAGTTGATAATTTAAAGTAGGATTAAATTTCAGAGAGGAATCAGAAAAATGATGAATTAATGGACTAAATTTCTTAGTTGGAAGATGATATGGAAAAATTGAAAATGCAATAAAAATATTTAGAGTCTCAACAGCAGAATAAACTTTTATAAAACTATGTAATTTTGTATATAGAATTAGTAATCTCAAGGGGAAAGTCAATGGTTTTAGCAAACTCAAATCATCACTATTCAACAATAATTACAAGACAAGGAGGAATTATTGAAAAAAATTGAAAAAGACCTTGAAGAAATGGAAAAATCTAAAAAAAAGGTCGATTAGTAAAACAAAGACATTCAAAATTAGTTAGACTTGATTACTTAAAGAAATAAGAGTAAAAATAAAAAAAAAATAATGTAGATTTGATGAAGGAATTAGAAAGGTACAAGCCAGAAGTAACTGATAATTCAAAAAAATAAACTATGACTAGGAACAAAACACTTGGAGCATTTAATACCAGGGATATTATCTAAAAATAAAGACTGTAAAATGATTTAACTAGTTAAAAAAAATTGGAGCAGATTAAAAATTAGGAAATAGATAATGCTAATAATTCAGATAATTAAGAGGAGATTGATACCTAATCAAAGACAACTTTAAAATAAGATAGCGAATAAGCTTAAGCCTCCGTAGTAAATTCATAGATAATTATGGAGAAAGAGCAAAAAATAGTGGAATTAGAAAAAATAAAAATTGAATTGGAATAGAAAATAACAGAATTAGAATGTGAAATTAATGGAATCAAATCTAATAATAAAAAAGTTACATTCCAAATTACTAAACTTGAAAAAGCAGTCGCATTTGAAAAAGAACGTATAATTATATATATATATAGAAAATACAAAATTAAGGGAAGAAAAGGCAACAATGGAACAGGACATGAAGGCTGAAATTGAAATGAGAAAAAAAGAAAATATTGGATTAGTAAAATTTTTATAATTATTCCTAGAAAAGGATGTCAGTTAAAATTAATTAAAACGATGTTGGAGCTAGTCTAATAAATGCAGATGAATTAAATTTAAAAGAAAAATTTTTTTAATTGTCAAGAGGTAATTCCAAGCAAATATATAGATCAATTTAGATTTACAAGCAACAAAACAATAAAATGAAATGTAAATTGAAACATATGAAAAACAAATTACTTAATTAAAAACTTAAATCGAAATATATGCAAAAAATAATTTAGAAAAAGAAAATTAAGTGCTCGAGTTATAAAAGAATTTGTAATTGGCTTTGGAAGAAAAGGAAAACTAAAAAAGTTAAATAGAAAAATTGGCTGACAGCAAAAATTTCGATGGAGAGTCTACTTTGAAAGAATGTAAAGCTAAATTAAGAAAGTATGAGAGCCTGTTGTAAAAAGCTAAAGCAGAAATTGAAATAAAAGACCTTTAATTACAAGAACAACATTCGAATTAATTAATAGAAATAATCAACATTATAGAAACTTATAATAAAGAGAACCTTTAGATTAATTAATAATTATAATAGTAGATTCAGTTGGTTGAAGAGTTGAAATCTTAATCAGGAATCAAAAACGATGATAATGATTCAGGA